GACCACATGGGGGCAGCCATCTTGTGTGTTGGAGTGATGGTCAATCTGGATATTACTCTTTCATTAGATAGGGTAATATTGGAAGCCCTAGCAACAATGGTCAAACAAAAAAAAAATAAAAGGCATCCAAATTGGTGAGGAAGAAATTCTTACTATTCACAGGTGACATGATATTGCACATAGAAAATCCTAAAGACTCCACCAAAGAAGGCCTATATAATAAAAAGGTAATATGCAAATTGACCATCACTGCAACATACAAGATGGCTGACACCATGTGGTCAAAAATGGCCACCCCCATGTGGATACAAATGGCAGGGAAGGGCAGTTATGTGTGATCAGGCCTGCAGGGGAAGGTAGTGATGGGAGGCCAGGCCAGCAGGAAGGGTTTTTAGGGGTGACCAGGCCTGCAGGGGAGGGCAGCTGGGGGGATCAGGCCTACAGGGGAGCCATTAGATGCCGATCAGGCTGGCAGGCAGAAGTGGTTAGGGCAATCAGAAAGGTGAGCGGCTGGGAGCCAGCAGACCTGGATTGTGACAGGAATGTCCCAGACTGGAGAGGGTGCAGGCCGGGCTGAGGAATACACACACACACACACACACACACACACACACACACGTGCACGAATTTTGTACACAGGGTCTCTAGTAGATTTATTAAATGTAATTCAGCAATGTAACAGGATACAAAATTAACACTCAGAAAACAGTGCATTTTTATAATACCAATAATGAACTCTCAGAAATAGAAACTAAATAAACAATACTGTTTCTCATTGCAACCAAAAAAAATTAAGAAACTAAGGGATAAATTTATTTATTTATTTATTTATTTATTTATTTTATTGATTTTGTACAGAGAGGGAGAGAGATAGAGCGTTAGAAACATCGATGAGAGTCATCGATCAGCTGCCTCTTGCACACCCCCTACCAATACATGCCCTTGACCGGAATCGAACCCGGGACCCTTCAGTCCCCAAGCCGACGCTCTATCCATTGAGCCAAACCGGTCCCGGCCTAAGGGATAAATTTAACCAAGAAGGTGTAAGACTTAAAAGTTGAAAAAGATTCAGAGGAAGATTTAAACAAGTAGAAGAATGTGCCTTATCCTTGGACTGGTAGGCCATAATACTCAAAGCAATATTCAGATTCTATACAATTCCTATTAAAATAACAACAGCATATTTCACAGATCTAGAATACTCCAACAATTTATATGGAACTTAAAAAGACCCAAATAGCCACAGCAATCTTGAGAACAACAACATTGGAGGAATCACAATACCAAATTTCAAGGTATACTACAAAGCCACTGTAATCAAAACAGCCTGGTACTGGCACAAGAACAGGCATATAAATCAATGGAACAGAACAGAGACCCCAGAAATCAATCCAAGGCATTATACTGAATTAATATTTGACAAAGGAGGAAACAGCATGCCCTAGCCCGTTTGGCTAAATGGCTAGAGCATCAGCCTGGGGACTAAAAGGTCCTGGTTTGGTTCCAGTCAAGGGCACATGCCCGGGTTGTGGGCTTGATACCCAGTAGGGGGCATACAGTAGGCAGCCAATCAACGACTTTCTCTTATGACTAATGTTTCTATCTCTCTCTCCCTTTCTCTCTGAAATCAATAAAAAAATATCTTACCAAATAATAGAGAAACATGTAAACTGACTGTACCTTCGCTATGCCCACAGACACCTGGGTCCATGGAAACTCCCAGCCAGGTCACTCAGCATCCAGGTCACTCCCAGCCAGCCATTAGGCAGAGGCTTAGGCTAGGGAAGGAGCTGAGCCTTCGATCAGAGGTTGTGTGTATGTGTGTAAACGGGACAACCCCTTCCCAAGCCTAAACCTGGGCAGAGGCTTTATGCTTGGGAGAGGGGCTGAGCCTGCAATCAGACCTGGCAGGGGGTGGGGAGACATGACGACACCCCTTCCCAAGCTTAAACCTGGAGTTTACTAAAAAGTATTAAATATGGAACTGCCATTTGACCCAGTGGTCCCATTTCTAGGAATATATCCTAAGAAACCCCAAACACCAATCTGAAAGAATGTATGCAATCCTATGTTCATAGCAGGACAATTGTAAATTGTCCTGGAAACAGTCCAAGTGCCCATCAGTAGATGGGTGAATAAAAAGAGCTGTGGTACCGTTATACCATAGAATACCATGCAGCAGTTAAAAAAAAAGATCTCTTACCCTTTGTGACAGAGGGGTCCCGGAGAGTTATTATGCTAAGCAAAATAACTCAGAGAAAGATAAGCATCACATGATCATAATGAATAAAATAAACTGATGAACAGAGTGGATACAGAGACACAGAAACAAGGTACAGACTGTGGAATCTCAGAGGGAAGGTGGACATAGGGGGGGTATGTAGGAAGAGATCAGCCAGAGACCTTGTATGCATATATGCACAACCCATGAACAAAGTCTCAGGTGGGTCACAGGGGCAAGTTATAAGGGATCAATAGGGGAATAAGGGGAACATAGTAATACTTTCAACAATAAAGAATTCATTAAAAAAAGAAAATTATCACTTTCCAATCCCTAAAGAAAGTACCCTATAAGACAAATTATTTATTACTAGAAATCAGGTGCATAGATTTGTGCACCGGTGGGGTCCCTCAGTCTGGCCTGCACCTTTTCACAATCTGGAACCCCTCATGGGATGTCAGACTTCCAGTTTTGGCCCAATCTGAAGTCTGACATCCCCGAGGGGTGTAGTACTGTGCAAAGCAGTAGGCGGCCAGGGCACCACTCCTGCTCATTGCAGCCCTGCTGTGCCTACTGCCACTCGGTAGCACTGCCATGAAGGCGGAAGAGGCTCACATTGCCATAGCTGTGCTTGCCAGCCGTCAGTTGGCTGAGCCACCAGGGGGCAGCTCCTGCATTGAGTGTCTAACCCCTGGTGGTCAGTGAGTGTCATAGCTACCTGCCAGTCATTTGGTCGACTGGTTATTTAGGCTTTTATATATATACCAGAGGCCCATTGAACAAAGATTCGTGCAATAGACCTTTCCCTGGCTGCCGGCACGGGTTTTCCACCGGCATGAAGGACCCAGGCCTTCGCTTTAGCAGCCACCTTCAGTCTTCGTTCCAGCCAGAGTGGCTCCTGTAGCACCCTCTGCCCCCTGCCCTTAACCTCAAAGCAGGCGTCCTGCCCTGTGCACCTCCCATGTGTGCTGCCTAGAGGCCCAGAGCAGCTGAGAGGCAGGACCACAACCATCTTTGTTGGGTTAATTTGCATGACTGATTTGCAGCCACTCATGATTGGCTGGTGGGCGACACAAAGTGACAATCAATTTGCATGTTTCTTTTATTAGTATGGACTAGAGGCCTGATGTACGAAGTTTGTGCACTGGGAAGAGGGCCCTCATAGCACGCCCCCAGCCCAGCAGTCTTGCATTGTGTCCCTCCCTGCCTCTGATCCCACCCTGGCACTATGGGCGCTGTCATCTTTTTGTGGAATGACAGTTAATTTGCATATTACCCTTTTATTAGATTAGATAGGATATATACACCAGAAGCCCAGTGCACAAAATTCGTGCATGGAGTGGGGGGGGTTCCCTCAGCCAAACCTGCAACCTCTTCAATCTGGGACCCCATAGGGGATGTCCAACTCACAATCCAGGACCACTGGCTCCTAACCTCTCGCCTGATTGCCCCTAACTGCTTCTGCCTGCCAGCCTGATTGCCCTCTAACTGCTCCCCTGCCTGCCTGATTGACCACAACTCCCCTCTTCTGCTTTGAGTTGCCTCTTCTGCCAGGCCCCGCCTCCACTGTGCAAGTGGCCATCTTGTGACAGCCATCTTGTGACAACCTTAGGGCATGATGATCCCCTAGGCAATTATTAGTTTAGACAGATTTATTAGTGTTAAAAGCATTCATTGAATGATGGGAAATTGACAACTGGATGGTAATAAAGTAAAACCACACATTATACTCTTGTCAAAAAGGGAAAATATAATCATTAATGATGGCTCAGTTATATTATGCAATTTGAAGATCATCACCTACTTATTCTGGCTCAGAAGTGTCACAATTGAAATTCTTAAAAAATATCAGAGGTTCTGAATTAGGACTATGAGAAAGTAACTGCCATAGAAATCAAAGAACAAAGTTCCTAAAGGTGGTGGTGATGAATTTCTAAGACAAATGTAACTTAAACACAGTTATAAATTCCTCATTTCAGTTATAAAAAGAGATGCCCCCATCCAAAAAATGTTTACAGGTGGAAATAAGAAAGCAGCATGTACACATCTGACTCTTTCAGAAATTTCTACCAGAAATAGTACAAATAACTATACTATTTCTGAGGAAGTATTATTTTGCACATAGTAATTAACAGTACTATTTAACATTTATCCAGTACTTACTATATCAGGAACTATTCTACAGAATTCAGAACTTCATAATCTAACCACCCTGTGAATCAAATACTATTATTTTCTCTATATTACTAGATGAGTAATTGAGGCACAAGCTTTAAGTACTTAAGATATCAAGGTGCAAAGTGGCAAGAGGAGTTAACAGAAGTAGTCTGACTCCATGACCTGTTTCCTCCTTTAAAAACAAACACTTTAACTTTTGAATATGTACTAAATTCATAGTTAGAGTATCTACTAAATTCATAGCTAGAAACATACGAAGGTATTTGCCTTTGCCCCATCTATCCTTGTTCCACAACCCCCAACAGAAAGAGCCACTTTTAACAGTGTCTTATGTATCCTGAGTTTTTTAATGGAAACAAATATATATATTTCTCCAGGTCTTACCCCAGATGAAGCATATCATACATTCTGCATCTTGCTTTCACTTAATTTATTTTTTGAGTTATTTCATACAGAAAGCTTCCTTTTCATTCTTTTGTACAGCTGCATATTATTCTGTTCTGTAGATATACCATAATTTTATTCAACCAGTCTCCGAATGATGGCAAGAATTGTTTCTAATCTTTCCCTATGCCAAACATAAATGAAATGAACCTCTTACCTGTATAATTCAATGCAAATGCAGGTACCTTTCTAGGATTAATTTCCAGATATGAAACAGCTGGCTAAAAAAACAAAAGAAAAATATTTGCAATTATAAATATTGCTGAATTATCTTTCCCAGGCCAGCTCCATACTAATACTATTTAAATTTCCAAGAATTTATATTTTCAAATATGTTACCAGTGGGTTCTCACATCCCCATGCAACTGCTTTTCTTTTTGTTTTATTGGCTATTTTAGCTTGTCTATTTTTCCATGTGAAGTGCAGAATCAGCTTCTTTAGTTACAAAGGGGCAGGGACTATAGATAATTTTATTAGGATCACTTTAAATTAATAAACTTACTTAAGTTTGCACACACTTCCTTATATATCCCTATTGAAAAACATGGTATATCTATTTGTTCACATCTAATGTTATACCCCTTGTTATTTTAAAATTCTTTTCTAATAGTTTTGCCTATTTCTCAAGTTTGCTCTTCAAGCTTTGATTGCTCTTATAAATAGTGGTTTTCTTCTGTTATGTCCTCTAACTACTGTTGTTTGTCTATTTTAATTTAGTGCCCAGTAACTTTAATTCTCGTTACTAAAAATTATGTAAGGGATAACTGTGGGTGGATTCCTTACAAAAAGCATCTTTACAAGTAAAAGTAATTTTCTTCATTACTTCACAAAATCTATACAATCTAAGAACATCTCAACTCATTTAGGAGTTAGGTCACTAGAATCTACTCCAGACTCACAGATAAAGATTGCAACTAAATTGTCTTCAAAGAAGGAAGTAACTGTCTAACCTAGGACTGCAAAACCTTGACTCCCTAATCCTGGGCTTTCTGCGCTGTATGGTACTGCTTCTCAAAGTGCAACTATTTAAAAGCAGCTCTATTTAAGTACCCCCAAACCAGTGGAATCTGATACCGTCTGAAGCAGGCGCTATAAAACTAAAAATTCCTTTGACACATTCTTGGTTGCTTAACATATTAAGCGCTCAGTCAGTCACCTGACACTATACTTTCCACCCGGGAGACAAAACAGGCTGGGCGCTTAACCTGTTAAAAACAAACAAACAAACAAACAAACAAAACAAAAAAATAGCGAGTTGCATTCTACCCCAATTAAAAAGAAATTCGGTTTTGTGTAAAAATCAAAACTACCTATAAAGTATTTACCACTTGGCTCCTGCCCCCCTTCAAATCGTCAAGGAAAACTGATGCTAAGGGAAGATGGCACCGTTACCATCAGCACTTTCGACAAAGGGAAGTGCTTCTCAAATGTTATTACCTCAATGCTAGTTTCCCATAGCTCCTCTCAAACTCATCCATATACAATTCTGCAACCAGTTTCTCACTCAACAACCTCAATCATCCGGTCAAACTGAGTTCACACACGCTCGAATCCGCCTCAGAGCCCCCCACCCCCACCCCCACCCCCCAGGCAGGCCAGAAGTTCTTAAATCCACTCTCTCTGCCCCGCGCCGTACCCCAATACACCCGGAATCTCCCCTTTACCTCCCGGACCCGACCGGCCCAAGACCCCGACATCCCACCTCCTACTTTCACGCCACGTGGACCCAGGGGCCGGCTGACCAAAAGACAAAGACCAAAATGTCCACTCGGTGCGCCACGCCTGCGCATCCGGCGGGAGGGGAATGGGGGAGGGGTTTACGGAGCACTCCCACAATTCTCCGCGAAGCAGCACGCACAGTTACCACAGCCAGGCCCAGGGTGGTATCAGATTACCTTCTATCAGCAATGCCGCTTTTCCAGCTTTGGACTACATTTCCCTTAAGGCTTTGCTGGTCGACACTCTGCCTCTGTCCTATGGGAACTTGACTGCCTCCTATCGTTATGGCGCTCTCGAGGTGAGTAGACTTGCCTTGGAAGAAGATCAGCTCAATCCTGGTGTTAGGTTTGGATCAGGGACTCCCTCTTTGAAGTCTCCCGAGTGCTGTGTCTAACGAGCCAAAGTCAAACTCAAATTCTGAAATACGAGGACTCCATCTTGTTTGGCTGGTCTGGACTGGACTACGTTTCCCAGAGACCTCAGCGGCCCGACGTTAAGTCTCTCAACGTGGTGGCCAGATCGTTCAGATAAGTTAGTTCCGCTCGGACCCGGACGCTACCAAGGGGAGGCCGAAGGTGAGGGGTCTGGGAATCCGGGGCGGGATGGGGCGTGTCCAGAGTTTCAGGTCTTTGCGCGCTGGCAGTAGCGGGCTGAGAATGCCAGATTCGGAGTGAGTGAATGTAGCTGTGTTTGGCTGACTGTGAGGGTCCGGTTGTGTTCACTTGTGTTTTTGTAACCAAGTGTGATGCTGTGTTGGAGTGTGGTTTGGTCCTTGTGACTGTGTCCCTGTTGGGTACGTAGGACCGCACGCCTTGTTCTTGGAGGTCTGAGTGTGATGCTTTCGAGTATCTGGGTTATGATTGCATGTCTCCAAGGTGGATGTATGGTTGCGTGATGTTGTGACCATGTGTGATAACATGTGTAATTGTATTTCTGTGACACTGTGATCACACTGTATCCCTTGGATACACTTCCAGCTGTATTCCTTGGGGTGTAGTGTGCGGGTGTGGTTTATCTTTACCTGTGTAAGTGTGACTGTGTCTCCAGAGTAAATGTTGGATTGTGACTGGTTAACATTGTGTTAGACTGAGTAGAGTGCCAGTAATTGTCTGTATCCCCTAAGTGGGTATGTACTTGTGGCTGCTGGGAATTTGTGGGTTTTGGTTTAGGAAGTCTGTGACTATATGAGAGTGACTGTGTGTCATGGTGATTAGATTGTGTGACTTTGTGTCTTCTTAGTAGGTGTGAGATTATGACTGTGTCTATGATTGTGTGGTTGTGTCCTGTGTGTCTCAAGAGTGGATGTGTGGTTATGTTTTTGTTTCACTGACAATTTATGCAGCACCAAGTGTATGGGAGTGAGGTGCCTGTGACTCCAGTGCTCTGATCACTGCAGAACCTGTGAAGTTAGGGCAGACTGTGGCCATAGAGAGTGAGAACCTCAGCCACAACTGCAACACTGCATGCGATTGGGCAGGATGGCAAGTCTTCCCAGATTTCCTTCCCTAGTGTGGGAGAATAGGGAGATGACCCTTCAAAAATGTCTTGCTCTCTCATGATTCCTTTTTCTTGACTCTTCTCCAAGAGAGATGTTGAGAGGAGGAGAATTGCTACTGATTATAGATTTCCCATATACTCTTAACCCAGCTTCTTTTTATGTTGACATTTTACATAATCACAGTACCTGATCAAAACCAGATTAACAATGATACACTATTAATAACTAATCTACATACCATATTCAAATTTTATCAATGTCCCTCAGTGTCTTTTTCTGGACAAGGATCCAATCCATGGTCATATATTGCAGTTAGTTGGAAAGTCTCCTTAGTCTTCTTCATCTGGCACAATTCCTCATTCTTTGTCTTTCGTGACCTTAACACTTGAAGAGAACTGGCCATTTATTTTGTAAAGTATGCAATATAGAATGTTCCTCAAATTGAGGTAGTCTGCTGCTTCCTCATTATTAAATTTAAATTATGCATTTGAGGAAAGAATATTCCAAAAGTGTTATGTTCTCAGTGCATTTCATCAAGAGACCCATGAAGTCAATTTGTTTCATTACTAGTGGTGTAAACTTTAATCACTTGATTACAGTGGTGTCCCCACAATTTTTTCCATTATAATTAAAGTGTCTAATGGAGAAATACTTTATACAAATATCCTGTTTCTCATCCCTACTTTCGCCTACTAATCTTTTTTTAAATATGTTTTATTGATTTTTTACAGAGAGGAAGAGAGAGGGATATAGAGTTAGAAACATCAATGAGAGAGAATCATTGATCAGCTGCCTCTTGCACACCCCCTACTGGGGATGTGCCTGCAACCAAGGTACATGCTCTTAACTGGAATTAAACCTTGGACCTTTCAGTCTGCAGGCTGAAGCTCTATCCACTGAGCCAAACCAGTTTCGGCATCGCCTACTAATCTTAATCCATTGATAATTCTTACCTGAATATGTTATTGCCATCTATTTGCCAAATGGTGATTTTTGTTTTGTTTTGTTTCCATCATTCCTTATTAACTAGAGGCTCAGTGCACAAAATTTGTGCGTGGGGGTGTGTGTCCCTCAGATCAGCGTGCATCCTCTCCAATCTGGGACCCCTCAAGGGATGTCCAACTGCCCGTTTAGGCCCAATAAATAGAAAGTTGGGCATGTCTCTCACAGTCCAGGACTGTTGGCTGCCAACTGCTTGCCTGCCTGCCTTCCTGATTGCCCCTAACTGCTTCTGCCTGCCAGCCTGATCACCCCCTAACCACTCCCCTGCCAGCCTGATTGATGCCTAACTGCTCCCCTGCCGGCCCAATAGCTTCTAACTGCCCTCCCCTGCTGGCCTTGTCAACCCTGAATGCCCTCCCCTGCCTGCCAAGTTGGCCCTAACTGTCCTCCCCTATAGGCCTGGTTGCTCCCAACTGCCCTCCCCTGCAGGCCTGGTCCCCCTCAATTGCCCTCCCCTGCAGGTCTGGTCCCCCCAACTACTCTCTCCTGCAGGCCTGGTCGCTCCCAACTGCCTTTCTCTGCTTGGCATGGTCACCCCTAATTGCCCTTCCCTGCATGATTGGTCCCTCCCAAATGACCCCACCTGCTGGCCATCTTCTGGTGGCCATGTTGTGTCCACATCAGGGAGGCCATCTTTGACCACCTGTGGGCAGCCATCTTGTGTGTTGGAGTGATGATCAATTTGCATATTACCCTTTTATTATATAGGATTGGAATCCTACTGTTAGAGGTTTTCCTTCTCTCCCATTTACTATCTTCCTAATAGAAAAGTAACATGCTAATTGACTGTACCTTCACGATGCCCACCAGCCAATTAGGAGTGAGTATGTAAATTAGCCCAACAAAGATGGTGGGTTAATTTGCATATGCAGTCACTGAGCGGCCAGGGGCTGGGCAGGACTCTTCATCATCACCATGGTGATGACTCAGGCCTTTTGCACCACCCCAGCCACTCCGGGCCTCTGGGCAGCATGGGAAGGCAGAAAGGCTGCTCCCGGCTGGAGCAGAAAGGTGGCTCCGGCCCAAGCGAAGGCAGTGCCGGCAGCCAGGTGAAGGATGACCCATTCTTGCATGAATCTTGTGCATTGGGCCTCTAGTATTATATAAGTATATACTGGTTAATTGTTATTCTATAGGTTATAATCCATTACTATCACTATTTTGTTGCTCAAATTATTCCAAATGTGGCCACTGGGAGCCCCTTTGAGTTGACTCCTGTGTCATTTCAATGTGTTCTCCTTTCTCTTTCCCTTTCTCTCTCCTCTTACCTCTCTCTTGATTTTTTTTAGTACTTATTTTCATGCACCACAATATATGTTCCAAGCTGATACTGTACTTTCTCAGCCCCAGCCCTGGAATCAGATTCCCAAGGAGCACTAGCTCCTTTAATCAGAAAACTAGAGGCCTGGGTGTTCTGCCCTCGTAGCCACAATGGCTTGCCTCACCCTTGCAACCCTAGCTTTGTAGGGAAGGACATCCAAAAGGTCATTTGGCTGTCCAGTCTAATTAGCACATTACACTTTTATTATTATAGACTAGAGGTGCATGAATTCGTGCAGCAGTGGAGTACCTTGGCCTGGCCGCAGGATCGGGCTGAAACCAGCTCTATAACATCCCCTGAGGGGTCCTGGATTGCTAGAGGATGCAAGCCAGGCTGAGGGACCTCACTAGTGCATGATTGGGGCTGGGAGGGATGCAAGAGGATGGCCAGCTGGGGAGGGAGCACAGAAGGACTCCAGGGCATGTCTGGTCCATCTTGCTCAGTCCCAATTGGCCAGACCCCAATTGAAGCTAATCTACCGTTTGGAGTATCTATCCCCTGGTGGTCAGTGCAGATCATAGCAAACAGTTGAGCGGCCTTAGCATATAATTAGCATATTATGCTTTGATTGGTTGAACAACCAACCAATTGACCAGACACTTAGCATATTAGGTTTTTATTATGTAAGATAATGTGCTTAAATAAAACTTATTAGAGACTTCCAATAATTGTTATCTAACTTAACATATAATGCAAAAATATTACAACTGGATACTTCCATTTTCATTTTTGTTACAGTCATATATTTTATTTCTAAATATGTTTAAACCACTCCCTGCCAGCCTGCTCGCCCCCCTGCTGGCCTGTTTATCCCCTACTGCTCCCCACCAGCCTGATTGCCCCCAACTGACCCCCACTGATGGCCTACTCTCCCCTAAGTGGCTCCACCTGCCAGTCTGCTCACCCCTAACTGCCCCCCCTCCACCGGCCTGACTGTCCCCACCAGCCTGATCACCCACAACTGCTGTCCCATCCTGGGTTGATCCCCCACAACTTCACTCCCCTCTTGGCCACTAACTGCCTCTACCT